CTTAAATAAGCGACACATGATCTTGTTCTGGACACATCAGGCTGGACTCTGATGCCGGACCTTTTCTAGATAGAAACCAGACTCCTTCTGGACCATGACATCATTCTGACATCATAGGTAGGAGCTAGGCTCAGGCACTAGGCCATAGGCCGGTCAATTCTGGACCCTAGGCCCAGGGCAGGGCAGGGCCAGACTATGACATCATATATGACATCATAGAGCACATGATACTTAGTAATCCTTACCCAGCTAGGTACCAGGGGTCCATTACCGGTCCCTGGGGGGTTTTCCCTCATGTATATAAGGCAGCATCCTGGGGCACCCTGTCCCCCAGTTCTATTCACTTCGTTGTTGCGCTTAACAGCATTACCTCCCCATACTTAAGTGCTATTATCTCCCCCCCTCAATATCAAGCTATAAGGTGGGTTTGTAGGTTTTGTGATACACCGACCGTTTGGGCTTCGGCGAACGCCTGCGCGCCGTGGGCCTGACCCCCGTATCACGCGCAGTCGCTGCTTGCTCCATTCGGCCAGTCCTCCTGGCGCTACACGTTTCAGGGCATCGCGACAATTTGAGGGAGCCCTTTTCCCAATCTATTTCGGGGTTGTGCTCGCGTAGCCAATCCAACCCGACGATCACATCCTCTGGACCGATGTCCGTGACCGTGAACACCGTCTTCTCGACGTGCTCTCCTATATGCATCTGTAGCACTGCTACCTCTGAGATGCTTCCGTCCTTGTTTAGGGTGCCGTCAATATTATACAGCGGAATGGGTTCCTTCAACTTCCGCGTCTGCACCTTATTTTCTACGATGAATCGCTTGTTGATAAACTTCGTGGTGGCTCCGCTGTCCACCATAGCGATTATGTCTTTGTGCCGTCTTTTCCCCTGGAGTCGAACTGGAATGTGAAAATGCTGGGACCCCTGGTCCAGCTCGTACACCATTGCAGTTGATAATACGTTATACTTATTACATGATGATATTCGCGGCCCGACGCGTGCGGCACGAAGCGCGGACCGGATCAAAAACCCTCCTCCTTCATCGCCCGATAATGCTCGAGCTCCTCGCGCATCGACTTCACCTGTGCCATTAAGTCCGCCAGCTCCGATTGCTCGGATTTCGCTGAAGCGGCACTTATACTTGCCGAGGGTGTTGTCGTGACGGGGGCGCTTGTCGCAGCCTGGGTGGAGCCCGAGGCAACCGTAGCCCGCGCATCAGCGCGTTTTGTGTAAGGCTTGTCCTTACAATTGGGGCACTCGAAGCGTCGGTACCCTTGCTTCCCACAGCCGAAGCATGTGCCGGGGAAGTTGCCTTTTCCGACAGCCGCATTGATGCTGGCCGAAGCTGCGTGCGTTGAGGGTGCACCACCACGTGCCCCGCCGCGTCCTCGACCTCGTGCCGAGAAGAAGTTGTTCAGCTCGGGCCGTCGGGCCCGGCTGATGTCGAGGATTTGCTCGACCTCGGTGGCGCGCTTCTCAGCTGCTTGCCACGTGGCGAAGGTCTCGAGCTCGATTTTGCGGTAGACGCGGGAGGGGATGCCGCTCAGGTACTTGTCGCGCAGCTCCAGGTCCCCATACCCAGAGCGGTCCGCCGGACCCTTGAACAGCGCGGAGAACTCTGCGGTGGTGCGTTTTTCACGGACCGACTTGTCCGCGCAGAGCTTCGCCAGCTCTACCTGTGCTGCCGCCTCATCGTCGAGATTTCTGAAGCGGGCCCTGAAGGCGGCGGCAAAGGCCGCTTCGTTTGCGAACGGGGTCGTGGCCCCTTGCACACCCACCTGCACCGATGCGAGCTGGGCAAAGAAGGGAGTAGCCCAGGCGCGGGCATCTCCATCGAGTAGGCTGAGTGCGACCTGCACCTTAAGTTCGATGGTGGTCAACGACGTGTTGACCAGCCAGTAGATGCGCAACTGGGACAGGAATCGGTTGCATTCGATGACGGTCTTGCCATCGTAGCGGAGCGGGAGGAGGAGTTTCAAGGTCTCCTTGTCGGGGGCGGCTGCAGGAGACGACATTATTGGCGTCGGGGGGGACGGAGGACGCTGCGGGGGCGGAGGCGGCTGTGGTGGCCTTCCGCTGGCCGAACTTCGAGAGGAGCGAGTGCTCGAGCGGCCTCTCGGCGGAGTCGGCGGTGAAGGCGCCGAAGGAAGTTCGGTGGGGGGGTCACGTACGTCAGGGACTGCTGACGCGGGGGCGAGTGCTGTCGGCGAGGTGGACCCAACAGAATCCTCAGACTCGGACTCCGAGACTCCTTCTTCACCTGCACCCTCCTCAGGCTCTGGCTCTGGCGCAGGGTCTGGAGGGAGATCTCCTCGAGCTTGACTGGACTCGGCGACAGTTTGGGGAAGGCGGGAGGTAGGGGAGACAGGGCGAGAGTGCCGCGAGGCAGATCGGGATGCGAGGGTGCTTCGGGGTCCGAGTGGGTGTTGCGCTCGTCGGATCGCTTTGTAGCGAGGGTAATCCTCCTCGATCGATCGGGGTGTCCGGTTGGGGCACGGCTGCTGCTCGCAACGATAGAGGACAGTCTCAGGGCCGTCTGGGATGTAGACGTCGATGAGGTCCTGGGAGTCGAATGCGTGGATCTGGCCTTGGCAGGCAGCCACGATGGATGGGGGGAGGAAGGGGAGGTGCGCGTACTACGAAAGGCCGTGCTATACTAGCTTACACCTACGGCGCCCGAGAAGACACTAAGGTTCGCAGTTCACGTGGGGCCCAGTACTGCTTTTGGCTAGTATGCAGCAGGAACCTAAGCCACGCGTCCGTGAGGACAAGTATCGCCCACTGAAGTGCAGATACTGAAGAGTTCGTTCCCTAAGTGGTGGCGATGTATGTACGCTATCTACGTATCGTATGTATCGTAGGGTATCGTAGGGGTGCGCACCACCCGACCTGTGGGAAAGGGAAGTGAGTGTAAGGGGTCCCGAGGGGACGCCGGCAGCTTGGGGAGTTTCGACCTAATGTCGCGACTTGAGGTCAAGCGACTAGAGAAAACTTGAAGGCTGGGGGCGTCCGACTAAGTCTCACCGAAGCGATGGTGAGCTATGCTCAAACCTAAGGCTAGGGACAAGAATGTATTAGTTAGTAAGTAAAAGAGGTAAGTACAGGAGAGCTTACTGACCTAGGGACAAGAGGTCGAAACTGAGGTCCCTAGGGCAGCAGAGGCTGGTTTATATACATGGGAAGATTTAGGGCAGGCTGTGCGCGTTGGTCCGTGCGCAGCTGGTCTGTGCACAGCATGCCGACGCGGCCCCGGGGGCCGGTGAGTCAGAGCGGCTGCGTCAGCGGGGCCCGAGCTGTGCCGTGCACTGCCGTCCTATCTAATCTGATCGTACAGTAGATAACGATGTGTCCGTATCGGGCAAGTAGTACAGAGGTCGCAGGTTCGAGCCCGCGAAAAGGAAAAAATTTAAAAAACGGCTAGGCGCCGTACCAATTCGTGACACAAGGAAGTATATTAGTTAGTAGGGTAAGAAAGAATACAAATGAGGGCTTACTGACCTAGGGACAAGAGGTCGAAACTGAGGTCCCTAGGGCAGCAGAGGCCGGCTTATATACATGGGGAGATTAGGGCAGGCTGTGCGCGTTGGTCCGTGCGCAGCTGGTCCGTGCGCAGCATGCTGACGCGGCCCCGGGGCCGGTGAGTCAGAGCGGCTGTGTCAGCGGAGCCTGATACAACGGTCTATACTCCTATATCGATGCCTGACTCGTAGACGATGAGCGAGGACTTATGGACAGTGCGTCGTCCGGAAGATTGAGCGAGGAAGTCGAGAATGACCACTACTCCAAGCGAAGAGGAGCAGAGACTTGAATGAATAACCAGGTCGAACTTAGGGTTCGACCGACTAATGGTACAACTACTTATACAAGTACCGACTGTGTCACGAGTTGGTACGGCGCCTAGCCGTTTTTTAATTTTTCCTTTTCGCGGGCTCGAACCCGTGACCTCTGTACTACCTGCCTGATATGGACGCATCACTATCTACTGTACGATTAGATTAGATGGGACGGCAGCGCACGGCACAGCTCGGGCCCCGCTGACGCAGCCGCTCTGACTCACCGGCCCCCGGGGCCGCGTCGGCATGCTGCACACAGACCAGCTGCGCACGGACCAACGCGCACAGCCTGCCCTAATCTCCCCATGTATATAAGCCGGCCTCTGCTGCCCTAGGGACCTCAGTTTCGACCTCTTGTCCCTAGGTCAGTAAGCCCTCCTTTGTATTCTTTCTTACTTTACTAACTAATACATTTTCTTGTCCCTAGCCTTAGGTTTGAGCCTCGCTCACCATCGCTTCGGTGAGAACCAGTCGGACGCCCCTTGCTTCTAGGTATTCCCCTGTCGCTTGACCTCAAGTCGCGACAGACTGCGCACGGACCATCGTGTCTATGTGGTCGTGTTAGTGAAGAAAGAAACGTAGTGGTACGATACCAGGCACGAAGTGCGCACGGACCCCATTATGTAAGCTACATAATGTTCAACCTGCGGGTGAGCGCTAAGACAGGCGCCAGTATGGGCGCTAGTAGTACAAGAAATAGAACGGAAAGACAAATGTTTCATTACCCCCCTACCAGAGTCGAAGTCCCATTCGACTACTTACTGCTCACCATCTCCGTACAACTCCCAATCTACGCCGTCGTCCTCCTCTTCGTCGAACCACTCCTTGCGCGCGTTCCTCCCTATGTTCATCCATTCCTCGCCAGAGAGGTGCTTCTGATTCGGCCAGGAGCTGTCCCACGTCCATTGAGTGGTGTCCAGTGTCCAGTCAGGATCGACTTTGCGAAAGACGACGGGTGTATCGGGGCGGGGGCGCGAAGGTCCCGCGACGGGACTGGCGGGGGGTTCGGGGTTAGCGCTGCGCGGTGGAGGAATAGGTACCGCTTTCGTCTGCCTTTCTTTCTGCTTCCTCTCTTTCGCCTCGTTGATGATTCCTTCGAGGAACACGTTGTCAACGACCACCCCCACGTGTCGCATAGGTTCTTCAGGTGGTGCGGATACGTGTCGCTTCATCGGCCTGGTTCCGCACTCTCGCTCCAGGTGTCCAGGGGCTTCTTTTCCGCATCCTGTGCATCGTACGTCCGGACAGTCCCGTACCCAGTGTCAAGACGATCCGCATCGCCTGCAGCTTCCCTTCGGGGTCCAACCAGGGTTGGGTTGCCAGTCAGCCGGGATGGTAGTGCTCCGCGGCGTTGCTTGGAGGAAAGGGGATGGGATCGGGGGGCGCCTGAAGGCAGACGTCGGTAGGGGTGCGGGTAGGGGTAAGTACGCGTTGGGGATGGCGCGCGGGATGAATTTGTTGTGTCGTGCTCGGATGCTGCGTGGTAAGAGCGGTTGAAAGCGATGGGCGACTTTCAGATTGTCGAGCCGGATGAGCTCGGTGAGGACGCGGTCGTCCTGTTGGCGTAGGAGCCGCTTGTGGTGGTCGATGGCCTCGTCGGCTGCCTTGACAGCCTCGTCGTATTCTCGGCGGGCGGAGAGATACGCCTCTAGTGCAGCGCGGTCAGTGGCATTGGTTGCTTCGGGGTTGTGGGCTTTGAGCTTGTTGAAAACGTCGGTGGAATTACTGAGAAGGAGCGTCAGCAAGGTGCTGTCGCCGACGTGGGTGTGCTTAGGGGTGTAGATTGAGAGCCTTTTCCCGCCTTCGGTCGAGGGGGCGTTGAACTGGTCGAGGAACGAGAGGGTGGAAGACATGTTGGTGCGAGTGGGGATGTAGCGACTGGGTAGAGCTGCTATCAATTCAGCTCAAGTCCTTCCTGTTCTTATACTCTGCCAACACTTCGTCAGCCGTCCCAGTCAGGTTCGTTTCGGGCTCCCATGAGTCATCGGCTGTTGAGTAACCCTTCCACCTGACGCGATATTCGCGGCGTCGCATCCTCTTGTTCTCTCGGTTTCCGATGATGGCTTCGACTTCGTAGTTATCTTCGCCTTCGATAAGGTCAGGGGGTGGCCTCGTGTAGTTCGGACCATGGATCTCCGTTTCCGAGTAGGGAGATAGAAGCCATTTGTGGAAAACGGGGTGGACTCGCCAGGTGCTAGGCAGGTCTAGCTTGTACGCGACTGTTCCAATCTTATCTAGGACTTTGAACGGCCCTTCTCGCCTCGGGGCTAGTTTCCTGGATAGGTACGGCAGCTTCAAGTTCCGGGAGTCTAGCCATACCAGCTGACCTTTACGGAAGGAACCCCCCTTCCTTTTTACTCTCTTGGCCAGGACGTTCTGGGCCATTTCCATTGCCGCATGTGCTTCTTCGCGGATGTTTTGCAAGTCCTTGAGGCGATAAGCCACTTGCGGCGTGTTTGATCCGGGGTGCGCGGTGGGTATTCCACGAGGTTCGTATCCCATCATGAGTTTGAACGGGGACGCCTTCGTCGTGGAGTGCTCGCGGGAGTTGTGAGCGAATTGCGCGGTGTGAAGGTGGTCAGCCCACTTATCCGGGTTATTGGCGGTGAAGCAGCGGAAGTAGATCTCCAGCTCTTGGTTCACTCGTTCTGTCTCGCCGTCGGTTTGCGGATGGAATGCTGTACTCATGGCTGATTGGACCCCAGTCATTTTGCACAGTTCTTGGAAGACTTTGGACGCAAATTGCGGTCCTCGGTCACTGATGATCTTGTCTGGAAGTCCAAACCACTTGTAGACCTCTCGGTACATTGCATCTGCCGTCCCAAGAGCGTCAATTGTTTTGTTGCATGGGATGAAAATTACCCCCTTCATAAGGTCGTGGTCCACTATGACCAAAATGGAATCAAAGCCATTGGACGGTGGCAAGTCGGTAATGTAATCGCACGAGAATGTGCTGAAGGGTTTGGCATTTGCACGGGGTCGAATGGGGGTGATGGGCGGTCGGGCTGGATGCGTGTTAACCTTCATTTGTTGGCAGATGCCACAGCCGTTAACATAGCGAGCGACAAACTGGGCCATGCTCGGCCACCAGTAGTCACGGCATAAACCAAGGAGGGTTTTCTGAACACCGGGGTGTCCTGCGGAGGGGAGGTCGTGATAGTGGGAGACAAGGCGCTTGCGAAGAGACTCATCTGGGGGTACATAGACCCGATCCTGGTATAGGAGGAGGTCATCATCAATGGACCAGTCTGTTCCAGTGCGTGGTGTTCCTCCGGTGCGCGCTGCAGTGAGTCCTTCCTTCATTATTGGGTCGTCTTTGAAAGAAAGGATGGTGTCGCGGGTGTCGATGTCGATGGCAGCGACCCATACTTCCGGTGGAAGCATAACGACGTCAGTGTTGTCATTTGAGCCGTCATCGTGGTCGGGTCGGCGGGAGAGAGCGTCGCTCTGCACCATTTGGGTGCCAGGAACGTGTACCAGGCGGAAGTCAAACTCAGTCAGTTTACTCGCCCAGCGTGCTTGTCGTCGGTTCATGTCTTTGGCTTGTTTCCAATACGTGAGGTTCTTATGGTCGCTGAGAATCGTTACTGGGTATGGGCTGCCAATGAGGTAGTGCCTCCACTCATCCAGTGTGCGGATAACCGCATATAACTCTCTGTCATAGATGTCGTAGTTTCTCTCTGCCGCATTGAAGCTTTGAGAGAGGTATCCACAAGGATGCCAGTCGCCGTTATCATCGTGTTGGCGTAGCACCGCTCCGGTGGCAAACTTTGAGGCGTCGGTTTCGATGGCGAAGGGTCGGTCAGGATCCGGCATACGTAGTACCGGTTCCTCTAGGAATGCCTTTTTGAGGGTTTCGAAGGCTTTCTGTTGGTCAGATCCCCAGGTCCAGGCGACGTCCTTCCGGGTGAGAGCAACCAGCGGTTGCGCTTTGTCCGAGAAGCCTTTGATAAATCAGCGGTAAAAGTTTCCAAATCCAACGAAGGTGCGTACTTGCCTGAGGTTGGACGGCACCGGCCAATCCGCAATGCCAGCTAGTTTGACAGGGTCCATTGCGATTTCTCCTGGATGGATGATCATGCCGAGGAATTCGACTTCCGTGACATCGAATGCGCATTTCTCTGGTTTCAGGTAGAGGTCGTGTTGTCGAAGTCGTTCGATAACACGTCGTGTTCGTTCTTCATGTTCTGCTTTGTCCTGGGAAAAGATCAGGATGTCGTCCATATAAATGCAGAGCCAGCCTTCTTGGAGCATGTCTGCGAATATTGTGTTCATCATCCGCTGGAACGTAGCGGGAGAATTACACAGCCCAAAGAACATCACCGTTGGTTCGTATAGCTGCGGCGGTTTGCCATCAGTTCTGGGTACGATGAACGCTGCCTTCCATTCGTCCCCTTTCTTGATTCGAACATTGTTGTATCCGGCGCGGAGGTCCATCTTCGTGAACATCTTGGCGTGCTTCAACTTGTCCAGGAGGTCGGATATAAGCGGGAGCGGGTATCGATCCTTGACCGTGTTCTCGTTGAGCAGCCGGTAGTCTTGACAGGGGCGTAGTGAACCGTCCTTTTTACCAACAAAGAAGAATGGACTCGCCAACGGGGATTTCGAAGGGCGAATGTACCCTTTACTCAGGTTCTCCTCGAGGAACTTGTCGAGTTCCTTTCGTTGCTGCGGGTTGAGCGGATAGACCTGTTGCTTCATGTCTGCGAAGCCCTCCTTGAGGTTGATTTTGTGGTCATATTCAGTGTGGTCTGGAAGTCGCGCAGCCGTGGCTTTGTCGAAG